ACAAAATTAAACTTGTATCAATATCCTATCTATCCTATATTTGTGAGTCTAAGGTTTCATATCTAACTTATCTTTTATCATGACTGAGGAGATTATAACTATCTAGTCTTCAACTCCAGCAAAGGCCTCAGAAGGATATAATATCTGAGAAACAGAAGAAGGGCACAAGCAACTTTTGGGAGTCTTGTGACAGTAGACAGAGACAGCTGGCAGCCCGCATAGTCACCTAATGTTTTTCTGTAAATTTGGGGCATCTGTTTTCAGTCCACAGGCCTAGAGTCTCTCAGTCACTTTTCTCTGTGTGCTGTAGAATGTCTGGCAGTTTCCTCTGTGAAGCAGGAACCTGAAGGACAATTTTGCCATGCAAATCTCTGTGGTCACCTTCCTATGGGTCCTGTGTGTCCATTTGATCAAGCTTCCTTGGCTCCCAACACTGGAGGCACTAGGTGAACGTATTGGGGGATGGACACTAGTCATAGTAACAGGTCCTGCAAGGCCTGGAGATGGCACTAATGAATTTGGTGAGTGCAGTGTTCTGTTTGATGGAGGTCTTGGCTGGCCATGATCTACACTTGTATCTTTCCTTGCAATATTGTCCAACATGATAGTACTTGAACAATCAATATCTGGAAGAGATGGAAGGGTGTAAGACCCTCCCACTGGCGCGCTCAGATCAATCATGGGTGAATTATAAGCTTTTCCATCGTATCCTGCTGCACTTGTGATTGTGGGACTGGAAGGAGTGGAGGAAGAGCTGCTGGCAGTTGTGGGCGGAGCCTGTCCACTGCTGATCTGCCACTGTTTTATGGCCTGTTGAGCAAAAAAAGCCATCTGCAGGGGGTTGGGTTTTATTATCTGTCGTGGCACATTCTGGTTTGGTGGATATCTCAGCTGTTGAGGATAAGGAGGGAGAACTGGTCCATTGGGTTTAGGACTGTGGTTCTGGAAGTTTATTAAACATGGTGGGGGATGCTGTTGCTGCATATGCTTCAGTCATAACTGAGCTAGGCTGATCTGTGTTGGGAACTTGGATAACTGGTTGGAAGGTAAACCACCTGGTGGCTGGGAACTCTGTTCCATGACAGGATTCTGCTTAGGAATTTGTGGCTGGCTCTCTTTATCTTCGATTACTAAAGAACCCAAGTTGATAATATTTTGGGCCCAGAAACTAGGATCACAGTGAAACTGGATGGTATTGTTGGTCACAGGAGAAGCATCACACCTTGCACGAAGAAGGTGCCATAACTGATATGTAATCAGCCGCTTGCTGTAAAGCAATGCTGTACTGCTGCCACTGGAAACTGCCCATTTAGAAAAATGCATGACGTGCTCTAACTGCTTGGAAAGCCCAGCCACTTCCTGCTGTTGTTGCATAAGTTTCATTCTATGGTCCTTTTCAAGACTCTCAAGCTGGTGCAGCAGGACTTTCCCTTTCTTGTTTATCTCCACCATCAACGTAAAGATGGCAACTTTAATATCCTGTTCCACCTGCTTTTGGTTTTGATTTACTTCAATTATTCTGTTTTGGATCTGATTTCCTGTATACTTTATATATTTTGTTTTTTCCATCAGTTTGGTGATTAGTGTATCTATGATCACTTTTTGATTCTGAAAAGCTTCTTCTATAAA